TTTTGAGAGGCGATGAACTCTGCATGCTGTTCGCGTAACGCAGCTAATTTTCTAATACCAATTATAATGAATCCATTGACGCCTCTCAATTATTTAACCCTTATGATGGTCCTAAACATGACGGAAAAGCGAAAAGAGCACCGTTTATAACGAGAATACCTTCCGAGACTGAGATCACACAATTATTTTTAAAACATTCTCACGAAGTAAGTTCAATGAAGCTAAGGTGGTGGCAATAACAATAATAATAAAAAATAATTCATTTTTGTATTATTTGGCTTTTTAGATTCCATTAAATGAAAGAACGAACACTACATTTGTTGGTCAAATGATTTCCCGAAATGGTGTTGGTGGGGGAAATGTCGTCGGAACTCTAAGACACGAGTTTTCGCCGAAGTTCTGGGCCGAAGTAAGAAAAAACGTCTTTTACCTTGAAATATCTTTTGCTCGTATTCTCGACTTCTTATTAATTATCTTCTTGATCTGCTAGATTGGATCATCTGTAGCATCACCGAGAATTGTAAGCATCAAAGGATTTTACTCTATTGATCCTGATAGGTAACATTATTAATTTATTTATAAATATAATTTTTTCCCTTTGTTAAAATACAAAAATCATTAACAATCTAATTTCCCATAATTAGTTTTGTTACAATAACTAGTCAATCATATTCAATAAGTTTACCTCCAATGTTGAGCATTACGGGTGGTCGCCGTATAGGTTTAAATACCACTGGATATTTGACTTATAAGACTGGTTCCTGGTCATTGGGACCTTGGGGAAAAGATGATACATCTCTTTTTAGACGACGTGAGAAATCAGCTGTAGCAATAGGAATAAACAGTGGACGAGACAAATCCGGATATTCTATAGAATTACAGGTTCATTGTCACTCCACTTTATTCTATTCTCCTTTTTTTTTTGATATTTATATGTATAGTATTAATAGTTTGTTGATTAGACGGGTATAATTCAATCACATATATCCGCGAGCTTTAATCGTAAGGTTGCTGAAGGTTATAATATTCGCGGATCAGCTTCTATATCAACTGTAAGTGGTTTGACTGCTAGTATTGGAGGAGATCACAATGTCTCTACGAATTCTCGGGTTGCCATGTCTATGGAATTTGGTATCCCAAGCGGTGTCACCTTGAAGATAAGGTATTCGATTTGACCTCATTAAATTAACGATAATATAACAAGATTCTAATTTCTTACCGAATATTATTAGGTTTGCTCGTCTTGGGCAACGTATAACAGTACCTATTCTATTATCTCAAGATTTTGACTTTAATCTCATATTATGGGGTTCTCTAATTCCAACCGCGACTGTTTATGTGATAGATCAACTAATATTAAAGCCAAGGCGAAAAAAGAAAAAAGCAGAGTAAGTACCCAAAGTTTTTTTCCAATCGGAAAAGGCGCTAAAATGGATTCATTATAATTGGTATTAGAAAATTAGCTGCGTTACGCGAACAGCATGCAGAGTTCATCGCCTCTCAAAA